GAATTGACTCCAAGTCTAGAGTGTTGAGCCCCAGGTATCGTGACTAGTATGCCACAACCCCTGCCTGAGCTGTGCGCTAGGTCTTTCCTGCAATGGGCTCGCCCCTTGAGGCATTGTTAAATGCCAGGGGTGGGGTTCAAGTACAGATACCTCAAGTAACTTGCTCCCACAGGACTGCTCTGAAGGAGGCTCTGAGGTTTATAGAAAGAGCCACTGCAGGATGCCTTCACTCCAAGGACAGAAACCCCAGGGAAGGCGTTTCTGCTTTGAGCACTGCTTCCCTGCCCCACCCCATCCTTCCAAACCCAAGCCAGGAGGTTACAGAAGTCCACAAAATTGACCTGTCTTTGATTGCTTGGGAGACCGTAAGAACATTCTAGCATGTCCTGTGTACTCTCAAGCTTGGCAACATCTGAGCCTGCCAGACACCAAATGCTGGTCTCACAAGACTGCAGACTTCAGGCTGTACAGAGCCTCCACAGAGAAATCCAAAGGATGGATAGATCCCTTTATTTAAACATGATCAGTATAATTGCAGGGGGAGATATGGAACTGCTTTCCAGGGTGACATTTTAGTGAGTACTGCTGACTACTGTTCCTGATGCCACCTTAAAGGCCTGTGCAGTGGTGTCTGCCGCCCCTGCCCTCTCCAGATCCACACCACTGGCCCTGTGGCTACACAGGACTGAGAATTCTCTCCACACTTAACCTGATCATAAACCACCAGGGCTGCCCGTGGTCTGCCTTGTTCTGTGTCTATTACCATACCTGTCTGGAGTGCTTTTTCATTCTAGTGTCAGGAAATCAAAGACAAAAGCACTTGTTTTTTATGTCCTAGTGTCTAAACTCGCAGACCTTGCAGTATAAATAGATGGTTTGAGACGGACCAGTGACTTGGGGGGCAAGGCAGCCCCGCAGGCTGACTGAGTTCAGAATATGGGGTGTCTTTTGGGGGAGGGATCAATCAGTTAGCTATAGGTTTATCAGTGAGTATGTACTAAGCGCCTTACCTTTACTGAGGAGGAGATAACGCCTTCTCATCTGTCACGTAAAGTGCCCCTCTTCTCCACTTCTTGGCCCCCTGGTCCCTAAACACAGGATAAATGTAACTGGTCTGTTCCATTCTAGTTTACCACCATGTAAACTGTCCATATGTATGTTATTAAATTGACTTTTTCCTTTTCTAACTTCTCTGATGTTTTGATTACTTCTCCAGCCCCAGGGGATCCAGGATGATTTTGTTTGTACCTGCTTTGACATCCACTATACACTAATTATTTGTTAATTAAGGGGGGAAAAAAACTCTCCAAGAATGTAAACAAAGCCCCCCTGCCTCCCAGCAACCTTAGCAGGTACGGAAGGAGTGCACTGTGGGGCAGGGGTGTGGAGTTTCCCAGCAGAGCCAGAGGCAGCGGGGGTTTCTTTGAGGTGGAGCCCTATTTTCAGATTCACCAACTTTAGGCAGTAATCGCTGCCTTTGACCATTTCTTTAGCCAAGTGGTTTCTTTTGTGTGCATGTGTTCCCTTCCACAGAAGCTGCTGCATTCATACAGGTCCTGCTTCAGTCCTTCCTGGTGACTGCCTCGCTCCTGGCTAGTGCCAACAGCGAGCCAAAGCAGAGCTCCAATTGCCACTCTCAATCATCTTTTTCCTTTTAAAATATTCTCTTGGCACCAGAAAGAAAAGGAAAAATACCGGATGGTTTCTCTCATAGCAGGAATGTAACGAACAGGCGAGAAAATGATGAACAGCTACAGACCAGAGACATTTTGTGGGGGCAGAGTGGGGAATGGGATCAAGAACAGTGAGGGGAGAGAAATACACTGGACTATGGTGATGGCACATGGGTGATTTGGTGATGGGAAGCCCAAGGGGATTGCAAATGTTATGGAAAAATGCACAAAATGATGTAAAAATAAACATATATATGTATATATATAATATATATATATGCAAAAAAGTTTGATTTTAAAAGATCCAGGCACAAACAAAATAAATACCAAAAAAAAAAAAATTCTCTTGGCCCTTTCTTCCTCCCTTTCCATCTTAACCTCACTTTATCAAGGTCAGCTATTTTAAGAAGTATTTCACTTTGTCAAATCATTGCTATTGTTTTCTTTTTAAAAAGATAAAAGCACATCTGCGTTACCATGAGAAGGGATGCAGGGCAGGAGCACTCGGTGTGTGTACACCACTATTCCAGAACCTTGCCAACATTCTCAAGACAAACTTTGTACCAACTAACAGTAACTCCATATCCCTCTCCCCACTTCCATGCTACATTTGGTCTCTGATTTTTCCTCCAACAGGTACTTCAGGTAAGCTGAGTCCTACCATGTTTAACCTGTGTCAGACTTACCATTCTGAGTACCTCTCAGAGTCCCAACTTTCAGTTCTTTTGAGCGTGTACTAGGAGTGTAACTGCCAGATCACATGGTTTAACTTCTGGGCAATGGCCAAGCTACTGTCCACAAGAGCTGCACACTTCGCGTTCCATTCAGCAACGCATGGGGCTCGACTGCCCCGCCTTCCTGCAGTGTTTCTGAGTAAGGCACACAACGGGCAGTGAAGAGATTTGCCTTTCCCCTCCCCAGACCTAGCCGACTAAGTGAGCGCCTTTCCCGGTGCTTACTGACCTCGTGTATGTATGTTCTTTGGAGAAACGTCTATTCAAGCTCATTGAACATTTTGAATTGCATTTATTTTTTGCTACTGAGTTATACAGATCTTTATATATTCTGACATTAATCCCTTACAGATATGACTTACAAGTATTACTTTCCATTTTGTGGGTTGTACTTTTATTCTCGATAGTGTACTTTGAAGCTTTTAATTTTGATGAGGTCCAGTTTACCTACTTTTCCCTCTGTTACCTGTACTTTTGGTGTCATATTAAAAAAAAAAAACCCCGCCAAACCTAGTGTCACAAAGCTTTCCTGCTGTTTTCTTTCATTTTTTAAATTTTAGTTTAGAATGGGGGTAAAATTATGCATCTTTAGTGCACCTGCCTGAGCCTATCAGTGAGCCAAATAAATTCAGCCATAAACATTCAACTAGAAAGCAAGCGCTTACTGAGAGTTGGGCGAGTTAGGGTGAGTCTAATGGTGGCCATTAGTAGACTGTATCTTAGTCACAATCATTCAATTTATATAAGTCCCAACTACATATTAGTGAAAAGCAAGCTGACTTAAGCAGTGCTAAGTACATCTCTAGGGCGCACCTTTAATGTGAGGTAGAGTGAATTAGTTCGAATCCAATGAGTGCTACTGGAAAGCACTGTTACTAATGCAAACACACTATGAGACATTCTACTTACTAAAGGGAGACTTCATGGCTGGTTAGTGTGAACTAATGTGGAAATCTGTGATGCAACACACAGAATCTCAAAAGTAATTTTACTGAGAGGTAGAAATTTGGATCAGCCTGAACAGGAGTTTGGATAAGGACTCCTACAGTGCAGCAAATTCCGCTGAAATCCTTTCAGCTTGTTGCAGCAAATGGAGATAAAGCACAGCATTACTGCACAGAGCAAGTTTGGCTCCAACTCAGGAATACTGTGGAAACAAGTTTGTTAGTGTGCCAAATTTTCACACCTTCTCAAAAGTAACTGTTAGAGCAACCTGGGGAGTATTGGAGAGAATCCGTATGAGTGCAAATCCCAGACATTCTTCTCAAAAGCACATGCTTAAGGTGAAGTGAAATAGGAATTCAAAAAAACCAAAGGTCCGTTGTTAGTGCAAAGTTCAGCTTCAGTCCTTATTTGCTACTGTGGACAGGGTACATCTAGACATGGTGCACAGCTCAGTTAGTTTGTCTAAGATGAAATCAAGCTCAGCCAGACACTGGGCCAGTTATTAATTAGGCTGGCTGGAGAAAAAGGATGTCAATGGAGGGTTATGCTACCTTAAAGGTTTCTATGTGGGGTCAAATTCAAGGTCATCTCTGGGGAACCAAATGACAAGATGAGGGTGAAGATCAGTCAATGTCTGTCAGTTCAAATTAACATTTAAAATCAGGCCAAGCTATGATTTAGATCAAGCTAGCTTACAGGTGGTATTCACGCTTATCAGATGAGCCAGGTCAATGTCAGACTGATCACCAACTTTAGGGTCAGGGCAGACAGAGAACAGGGGCTAAGGCCCACTTTCCACACTATATTTGAGGCTGGGCGCTGGGACCAGAGGAACAGAAGCTAGTTTGTAAAAATGAGCATCGCAGAGGGGCCCCAGGCTTGGCCTAGTTCCTGGGCCCCTGCTGGAGAGGACGCCGCTCCGCTAGAGACCGAATGCTAAATGGATTAGGCCCAGCCTAGGAAATTGAGTCAGATTCTTAAACCATCCCCACAACCAGTGGAGATGAGGTTGTAAGCTTTTAATTCTAAGAATGCTATTTTAAAAAAAATTAAGTATGAGTCAAGAGCAGGCACAAAAAACCAATGAAGCAACCTGACAAACGGAAATGTAGAAAACAGCAAAGCAGGACTCAAGCACCAAAGAGGCACTTTTGCAAAACATTTTCGCACCCATGGACGGAAGCAATTTTGTAAAATTGGTGCTAGGTGGCAACTACAGAGCCCAGCCAGTGACTTCGATATGCTGGAACACAAGGCCCTGCTGCCAAGGCTCTCAGGACACACCAGAAACCCAGAGCTCTGGTGGTATCTAAGTGTTAGCAACCAGACTATTAAAAATCAGAGCAACAAAGGCTAAGTCACAGTTATACTTTATACTTACAGCTACTCACGGCCCACAGGTCACACCAGCAGTTTGTGGCTGCTCCTCTATGGGGACAATGCTTTCTCCGTTTGGGGTTCCTATTTACCTCCCCCAATACTTCAGTCAAAAAACAAAAACTAGGGACAGGTGTTACGAGAGGCCGTGCTGCCTCAAGCCTGCGCTGCCGGTCACGGAGGGCTCTTCCACCTGGGGACATGACTCCGCCACCTAACGTAGCCTCTACTGAGGGTCTGGAAGAAGGAAAAAAGACAGGGCAAAAGCAGGTCATCTTTGTTCTTGTTACATTTTATTGGCATCACGCTCATCTCTTTACAGATCTCGGCCCACACCCTAGAATGTAGACCGCTGGAAGAGGGGGTGCTCCGTTAGGCAAGCTACAGTGTGGGGCGGGTCTAGGGAGGTGGCAGAGTTGCCAGGTTCCATACCAAAGAAAGAGGCTATCAATGAGGTGCAATCCTGGGCCATCGTGGGGAAAAGGAAAAAAAGGTCTGCTAACCTAAGGATACCACAACCTTAAAAAGGAGTGCCTTCTAGAACAAAGGTAACATCGCTAAGGACCGGTCTGTTAGGATTTTCCTTTCCCGCTTAGAAGTAGGATGCTGATATAACAGGGGCATTTTGAAGTGTGGAGCAGGAAAAAAACAAAAAAAAAAAAAAAAAAGAAAGAAAGAAAAATGAATTTTTTAATTTCTGAAACAACAGCCATTTATCCATTGCACATACCACTGTATTATGCAAATCAACCTTCTGGAGAATTTAGATACAGCAGGGAAGTAGATAGTTCCCCCCTGGAGAGATGAAAAGCTTTTTGGCTCTTAAGTCTTTGATAAAAGGCGTACATAATTCTTGTGTCTACTGTACAGAATACTGCCTCTAGCTGGATTTCTTAATTCTGAGTTGCTAACAATCTGCAATCCAGACAGGGTTCAACCCTCCCTCTTGCATGCCTGCATTACAGGACTTAAACACATAATCCAAGAATTTCTTACACTAATTTATACATTTTTAATTGGTTGCATATATTAACATGTACTATAAGATTCTTTTCTAAGAAGCATTACATAATAAATGGATACTGTAAAAAGATCTGATTAGTTAAAAGGAACAAGCATTAACAGATACATACAAAACTCAGCCTGATCAGACTGGGTGTGAGCCTGTAGGAAGCAGGGGCACCGGCCTTCCCCAGTGGTGGCCTTCACAGCAGGGGGCGGGGGCGGGGTAAAAAGATCACAAGACCATTAAAAAAAATCAGGTGACTAATTAGACACAGATTAACTGTAAACAGTTCTCTCTCTCCAGTGGACAAAAAGAATCAGCTTCTATGCCAATGCCACACCAGCAGATTCCTACAGTGGGCTGTCCTGCTGCAGGCCGGCCGACGTGGTGGGCAGGCCCCGACGCAGCCATCAGGGGTGGGCTGGAGTCTGTCTGCTTGTGTCAGGTCTGTGTGTGTGCGGTGTGTGTGTGTGTGCTGTGTGGAGGGGTTTCTTTTGGCAACTGGAAAGGAGAGATCACTTTGTGTTCTGTTTGGAAGAGGAGAGGGGCTTGTGTTGGAAGGCCTAAGTGTGTTCCTGGTCTGTGAAGGACTCTGTGCTCTGCTCTCACTGCCCCTTCAGCAACTGCAGCTCTCTGTGGAGGCCTTGGCCCGGTCATTCTTATCCAGTTTGATGGGTTCAGGGAATTCATTGTACAGCTCCACCTCCGTTTCCTGGACAGGGAGAGAAAGGGTTGTTACTCAAGACATGGAGGCATTCCTATGCTCAGCTCCAGTCCTAACTGGCGCCTGTCTTGGTGGGTGGGGAGCAGGGGGGCAGACAGAGAAAAGAGGGCTCTGGCAGGGGTGTTCAACCCTCAAAGGCTGAACAAGAGAGGAACACAGGTTCTGTGATATGCCCAGGTAACCCTGAAGAGCCAAACCAACAACAACAACAAGCAGTCAGGACAGAAGCCAACTCACATTTGCAAACTTGGCCACCATACAGGTGCTTTCTGTATGGGCCATCACAAAAATCAGACCTAGGCCTTCCCTGGTGGCCCAATGGGTTAGGGCACAGCCCTTGGATACAAGGCCGCTGCAACACGAGTTCGACTGTCAACGAGGGAGCTGACCCACATGGTGCAGACCTCTCCTGACCAGCCTGCTGCTCCCCTCAGCAGTGTACTTCAGTCAGCCTGCTTGTCCTGCTCCCCACTGTCTCCGGTGACTCCTCTCACCCCTCACACCTCTAGCCTGTACCCCAGTTCTTATGTGCATAAATAAATAAATCTAAAAAAATAAAAAATCAGCCCTATGTGGCCTGGTGGGCAACCCTTATTTAACATTTCTACAAGCCACTGGCTCCCCTCTCAGCTCCCTAAAGCCCCTAGTTTCCTATTTGCCACTCGTTTTTCTGGAATGGGGAATTCATTTTTTATTCCTCCAGAGAATTTGGTCTGCAAATGCAGCAGGCTGAGAAACCAGCTGCAAGTGAATTTTATCACGCCCTGGGGTGAGAAGTGACAGGGGATGTACTATGGTCAGTTTAAAAGGACTTTTTAGGCTGCGTCCCAGTGAAGGGCTGGTTTCCACCACCCGTGTAGGGAAACCACATGTAGTTCAACACCAAGCACCTGCTGCCAGGGTGCTCCAGGGCCTGGCGTAGAGCAGGGAAGGTTGCTATCCACTCAGTGCTTTCTAGGAAAAGTAATTCCATTCACAAGAGCTATGAATACTTTACAGTAGTTTTATTGAAGTAGAACTCAGAGCACACATTTCAGTCATTTTTAGTATATTCAAAATCGGATGCATTATCACTACTGAATTCCAGAACACTTTTTTATCATCACAAAGAGAACCTTTGCCCACAGCAACTACCCCACTCCCCACCCCCAATCTTGGCAACCACTTGTCTACTTTCTGTCACAAAAGACATCATTCTGGACATTTCAGGTGATAGGCATTTGGGTTGTTTCCACCTTTTTGCTACTATGAACACTACTGCTTGAACATTCTTGAGCAAGTTTTTGGGGAAAAGTTTTCATTCTGCTTGAGTATACACTGTGTAACTGCTGAGTAACTTTATGTTGACATTTTTGAGGAATGGCCCTTTCTCCAAAGTGCACCATTTTTACATCCCCATTAGCACCTAGAAATATATTTAATATGAAAGTCAAAGATTGTGAAAAATTTCAAGATCCTAATGAAGGATCCCAGTGGCTAAATTTGGATAAAAAATCAAAGTTAAATCAGCCCTGGGGACCTCCCTGGTGGCTAAAGAGGTTAAAGTCTCAGCGGTATGAAGCTACTGTAGCCACTGTTGCATGGGCCTGCGTTCGATCCTCTGCCAGGGAGACCCACATGGCAGCAGACCTCTCCTGACCTGCCCACTGTTCTCCTCAGCAGTGAATTTCAGTAGATCCACATGTTCTGCTCCCCGCTCTGTCTGGTGAATCTTCTCATCAACCCTCACCCCCACACCTCTGGCCTGCACCTCAGTTCTTCTATGCATAAAGAAATGAAAATAAATCTTTAAAAATCAATAAATAAGTCAGCCCTATTCTGACAGGATTAGTCAGATACCAGAGCACAAGTGTGTGCTCGCTCGTGGTGTACGTGTGCACGAACAAAGAAAAGACCACGCGCATACAGGCAGAAGGGGAGAGAGCTGCTTTCACTAGAAAAAATGGTCTGCTGGCACCTCGACTCTGGCCTTCTGAGCCGTGAACGAGTAACTGCTGTTCAGTCCACCCAGTCTGTGGTCATCTGTTACAGAAGCTAGAACTAATGTGATAGCCACCATGCAATTCCAGGTGGGACCTCAGCAGGGCTTTATTGTGGGGTTGATGAGGAAGGAACTCTGATTCTAAATGGAAAATGCAACAAAACAGCAGCAGCAACAACAAAAACACAAGAAAGAGTAGTGAGGGGAAACCTGTCTTACCAGAAGTGAGACCACAACATTGAAAACAGTCAAGGAAGGACGGTCCAGGCAAGGACCCCACTAGAACAGTTTGGGGAGACCAGAACTGGACCCCAGTGCCAGGGACATTTGCTACAACAAAGGTAGTGTTTCAGTCCAACAGGGAAAGCGCTCTGACAACTAGCTGCAAATACCTAACAACTGGCTCTCCCTTTGAAAGAAAAAGGAAAACCCCTCTGATAAAAACCGGAATAAACTCCAGTTCAATAAGATGCCTGGTAACCCAGACACAGGAAACCTACATATTTCAAATGGCATAACTGGCTCAAATTGCCTTTTCTTCCTCCTTTTTTAAAAGATGTATTTATTTATGCACTGGGTATAGGCCAGAGGTGCAGAGGTAGTAAGAGGATTCACCAGAGACAGAGTGGGGAGCAGAACAGGCTGATCGATGAAGCACACTTTTGAGGGGAGCAGTGGACAGGTCAGGAGAAGTCTCTTGCACCCTGTGGGTCACCTCCGGGGTGGGGACTGAACTCATGCTGAGGTGGCTTTAGCTTCTTTTAGTGCTTTAACCCGCTGCACCACCAGGGAGGGCCTCATCCTCTTTTTCCTTTTTTAAAGATTTATTTCTGCATACAGAACTGGGGTACAGGCCAGAGGTACAGAGGCAGGGAGAGGATTCACCAGAGACAGAGTGGGGAGCAGAACAGGCAGATAGATGAAGCACACTGCCAAGGGGAGCAGCGGGAGGGTCAGAAGAGGACTGCCGCGCCATGTGGGTCACCTCCGGGTTAGGTGGGGATCAAACTCATGCTGAAAGTGTCCTTAGCTTCTTAGTAAGGTGCTTTAACCTGCTGCACCACCAGGGGGGACTTCCTTTTTTTCTTAATGGTCAAAGACTATGTGACCAGATAGCAGAGTTGGGGAAAATTCACTTGCAATGCAGCTATGGTCACTGCATTTACAAGGAGCTCAGGGAAACCACTGGTGGCTAGCCAAGCGCTGGGCACTGCCCTCTGCACCAGATAGCACGAAGTGCCACACCTGAGGAAAGGGGCTCAGGGACCAGCCTCATGAAGGTGACTGCCGCAGGCCCAAAGACCACAGGCGCCCGTGGAGTCAGAGAGGAGGCCACTGCTTGCTGGCTGAACGGCTAGAGCGCTTGGAGCAACATGCTGCCGGGGAAGGGACGTGGCGCGGCCTCTTGACGCACAATACACCTTTCCTCAGTATGTCAGTCTCATGCCCTCCTCCTGAAAAGCTCCTCACAGAAATGAAAAGGCTACCGGGATGGCCATATAGAGCAAACTCCCACACTAGTCAACAGTAACCGGTGGAAAACAACTCCCCGAACAGACTTTGATGCCCATGCAATTTCTGTGAGGAAATCTACTAGGTTACTAATCTAGCCATGAGGTAGGTTAAAAGGAGAACAGAAGGCAGCTGCACAGAGCCCCAGGTCTGCATTATTAGTGTTACCAGTGTACTGCAGAGAGGCTTTCCTGGCTTTTTGGGGGAAGCAAATTCCTCATCGGCTAAGACTATGCCCTTACCCAGTGCAGTCCCTGTCCTTGGAACAACCCCCAAGTTATCTTTTGTTCACATGTTCCAAGGCCCTGTCCTACTGCTGTCTGTGAGCCCAGGTTTCTGGAGCTAGCAGTCTCCACCTGGCCCTTTGTAGCCACCAGGCCCATGCGCTTTCAAGTGTTCCCTACATCCACCCCAAATGTGTACTTCAGCTGCACCTGCCACACATGCTCGGACCGCCGCAGGGCACTGAAGACACCTGGCATATGCTGCCTTAACTCATAGGCTAGCTCAAGTCTACAAGGATACCAGCAAAGAACTGTTCTAGAGAAGATGCAGGAAAACTTTATTCTCCGAATACACAGGTCCACCTGCCCGGTGGTTCTATGTGACCGTTTATAAGAATAGCAAAAGTAGGTCCATCTCACTTCATTTCTACACCCTCTCTATAAAGCAGCTATTCTTATTTTACTGATGAGAGAACAGAGATGCCAATGAGATGAAAAAAAGCTATCTAAGGATGAGGAGCGGAGGTGGGATTCGAATTCAAGTTTATCCCTCCTGAAATCAAAGGAGCTACCTGACCAGGGCTTCCAAATGGCCTAACCTCACAGGAAGTAGGCACAGCCTTAAGACCAAACCCAGTCAAAAAGGGTGGTACCAGCTCAAGTCTTCACTGCCCCTCATCTTTTTAGATTATTCTCAAACAAATGTCATTTCTGGAAGTTAACTTCCCAGATGAGCATAGCTTTTCTAGCTACATGGAGGAGTCAGCCCAGAAAGAAGATGCAGGACAAGGAAACCGGTAGAGCTCGACGGGTCAATGGTCAGTCACCAGGGGGGCTGACACCTGCCAGTGGCTCACCTGTTTAAGTGCATTCCGTGCAATCGTCTGGAACGCTTGCTCCACATTGATGGCCTCCTTGGCACTGGTCTCAAAGTAGGGAATGTTGTTTTTGCTGTAGCACCAAGCCTGTGCCCGCTTTGTGGCCACCTGAAAGAAGCAGCAAGGCGCATAGGTGCTCGTAACATCATTTACCACCTGGCCCTTAGAACAGGGCTCCGTGAACTGGTCACTTGCATCACCTATAGGGGCAGACATAGGGGAGAAGGGCCTGGGGGCGAGGGGGCTGCAGACCATTCAAGGACACCTCCCTGGGGCTGTGTAGTGTGGTTCGGACACAAGCCCGGGCCTAACCTGCACGTGTTCATCTGACCTAAAGCACATTTAACAGCAACGGGTGAAAGGAAAAAGTCAACCCAGTGAGAAATTAATCTTCTTTTCTGGGACCTCAGAGGTCCAAACACCTGGCAGCCTGATCTTCAAGTCTGTAGTCCCTTCCCTGCTGCTGCTAACATTACGTCACCTGTGCCACACAGCCTGTCACCGCAGAATACTGCAGCTGTCATTGTGTAATTCTTTCCCACAGCTAAATCACTTAGGAAAAGTAAAAAGGGCAACAGAAAAAACTCTGGCTATAATTAATGAAGCAGCTATGTTCCAAAAAGACATGTTATTTGAGTGTAAACGAGTGATTTTACCCAAAGCAACCTTTGGCACACGTGGCGATCCAGGCCAGCCCTTAGGTCTGCGGGGACACTTGAAAAGGGCAGAAGCAAACTCCTTCCTCTCAATGCAGGACGGGAACTGCGGCTCAGAGGGCAAAGGCAATGGCCCTCCCGGGCTCTGACTCACAGGGGCAGTTGGCCCACACGTGCCCCTTCAGAGCCTCATCAGACGTGGCACAGAATCACCAGGAGCCACAGAAGCAGGTGGTACTGGCACTGCCCATGGGCACACACTAATACTGGTCCTTGAGGCAGCTTTTTACCAAATCAGAGCTAAAAACAGCCCCTGTCGCCTGAAACTCAGCTGCTGCTTTGACAAGAAGGCCCTTTCTAAGGCCCAGTTGTGTTCGCGTCCCACCAGCATGAACACTTACTTGTCTGTTTTCGAGGTCAATCTTGTTTCCCAACACAACGAAGGGGAAGTTTTCCGGATCACGGGGACTGGCCTGAATGAGAAACTCATCCCTCCAGCTATCAAGAGTTTTGAACGTATTGGGAGCTGTCACGTCAAACACCAGGACGCAGCAGTCTGCACCTCTGTAGAAGGCCACACCAAGAGACTGGAACCGTTCCTGTCCAGCTGTGTCCCAGATCTGTGAGACACAGAGCATTTATTCCTGGAGGTGCTGCAGGAAATGGGGCGCATTTCAAGTGACTTCAGTACTGAGGAATTTCAACACCAGAGCATCCCAAACCACCCTGACTAATAACGAGTGTGTGTGTCTGTGAGGAGGCTGACATGGAATCTTGAATTTTAGGGTGTTAAGAGATCTTTGGTTTTTTGATCCAGTTGATGGCCATCTGGGCACACAGTCGCATAAATTTTAAGCTGCCCCAAACATGTCCCAAAACGTTCTTCAAAAGTAACACTAAAACATAACATGCAAACCCAGATGGCTTTGTTTACTCTTGGTTACTAGTTCAAATGACACAGTGACAAACAGGAGCAGGAGCAGACTCAGAACTTAAAAACTGTATAAAGGCCTGGAAATGGCAGCACTGGAGCCCCGTAAATAACACTTATTAGAACAGGTGACTGGATCAAAAAGATGTGGTACATATACACGACAGAATACTATTCAGTAATCAAAAAGGAAACTCGTGCCATTTGCAGCAACATGGCCGGAACTAGAAGGGCTCATGCTCTGTGAAGTGATCCAAAGGGGGAAAGATAAATACCTGATGGTGTCATTTATAGGAAGAATATAAGGAAATCATCAACAGATCAAGAAAAAAAAATAACTAAAAAACACAACAAAACAAAAATAAAGACAACTATCAATCAGGGGAGGCGAGGGAGGGAGCTCAATGTGAGGCAGGAAGAGCACAAGGGACTACAGAGATGGTGACAGGCAAAGTGGTGGTGGGGATTCCATGGGGACCATACCTGAGAGAAGAGAGCAAACATTGTTTAAAAAAAAAAAGAATAATGGGGGTCTCCCTGGTGGCGCAGCGGGTTGAAGCGCAGCACTGAGAAGCTAGGGCCACTTCCGCATGAGTTCGATCCCCGCCTGCCCCGGAGGTGCCCACATGGCGCGGCAGACATCTCCTGACCCGCCCGCTGCTCCCCTCATTAGTGTACTTTGTTGATCTGCCTGTTCTGCTCCCCGTTCTGTCTCTGGTGAAGCCTCTCGCTGCCCCGAGCCTCTGGCCTGTACCCCAGTTCTGTATGCACAAATAGATAAATCTTTAAAAAAAAAAAAAAAAAAAAAAAGAATGATGTAGCCCAAAGGTTACTTCCAACAGGGGCTGCTCTGAGAAACCCATTTTAGTCCTTTCCTGGATGACATGACTGACAGGACAGACTGAGGAGCACAGATGTCTTGAGAGCAGGACGCTGATCCTGGCAGCCCACTCCACTCTCAGGAAACACAAACCAAGGCCTGCACTGATTGCTCTGGGAAGCGATGAAACAGGACATGTCCTAGTGGCCACTGGAGGTCAGTCCTGACTGCAGAAGCAGGCTACCATGACCGGCCACATGCGGCACAGAGGGCTAGGACCGCTGCGTGAAGAAATCAGCCAGTCAGAAGAACCAGAAGGCAGTGAGGAAGGGGGAAGGGCAGGACGACGACGTCCGCCCTGTCCCAGTACAGTAAGGCAAGTATGTAGTGTAGAGAAAATAGTTCAAGGTGCGAAAACAGCAAAACTGCACTTCTCCAGTTTTCCAAAGCCCTACACCAAGAGGTAACTCTATGTGAAAAAGTGAGCCTTTTTTCCTAAGATGGGACCAATGTGCAGAAGTAATCAAGAATAACTTGGCCAGGGCCTCCCTGGTGGTTCAAGGGATTAAATCTCAAGTCATTGCAGCATGAGTTCGATCCCCAGCCTGGGAGCTGACCCACACGGGGCAGCACACCTCTCCTGTCTCTGCACTGCTCCCCTCAGCAGTGAATTTGTCAATCCTCCTATTCCACTCCCCACTCTGTTCCTGGTGAATCCTCTCACTCCTTGCACCTCTGGCCTTCACCCCAGTTCTTGTATGCATAAATAATCTTAAAAAAATAAAAAGAATAATTTGGTCATAAAATAAAGCAGACAGAGACAGATATTCTGTAAGAGGAAGTAGGGAAGAAAATTTTAAAAATAAATGTAGGCTTGGACATATTAAAACAAAATCTCTTTAGAGAAATAACATTGTTACCTGGACAGCTGGATAAGTAGAATGAAGGTCCCCCTCACCCTCCACCCCAGCTGGCATCCTGAGATCATCAGCAGCTCATGGCTTATTCTAGGTGTCCACATGGAGGGTTTTAAATAGCTGAAACCTTACACCACGGGTCAGTCTGCATGTCTGCCAGTATCACCCTTGCAAACCACCACAACACGCTTTGTGGCAACAGCACACATCTCTACTCTACTGTTGCCCAACAAACACAGAAAACCACTTTACTCTTGATTTAAAAAATGTATTACTGACAATTTTCTAAAGTTATAAGTAACTCAGTAATGAACATTACAACAGAACCGTTTCCATATTTTAGGTGGAAAAGTTGAAACACTGGGGCTGTATTCTTACGGTTTCTTAAAGTCATTAATTTTTATCTATTTATGCATACAAGAACTGGGCTGTAGGCCAGAGATGCAGGGGGAAGGGATGTGAGAGGATGCACGAGAGGCAGTGTGGGGACCAGGACAGGCGGATCCACTGAAACACACTGCTGAGGGGAGCAGCAGGGAGACAGGTGAGGTCTGCAGTGCCCTGGGAGTCAGGCTGTATTGTGTCATTTATAGGAAGAATATAAGGAAATCATC